CTCTTGCTGAAAAAAATCCAGAAAAAAATGTTTTAATGTTCCAAATGTAATGTACTTTTACAATGTTTTTTTTTTATTTGGAAGATGCTTCTATTATCTTTTTTTTAGTATTATCGTTCGTTATCTTGTTTTCTTAAGCCTTTTTTTGCAATTTTATTTAAATTCTTATATTTTTTTATTTCCTTTTATACATTTCTCAAGTAATTGTTTATTTTAATACTGTGTTTTTTAACTTTTCAGTCTGTTTTTTACAAATTGTTAGTTGTTCTTAATTTGTCCGTGAAAAAAATTTCCTTTCTCCTTTTTTAGTTTAGTTTATTACTTCTCGAACTTTTCGTATCTAATTCTGTTCTAATCTTTACTTTTTTTCCATTTCAAGTTCATTAATTCCTGTCGTCGCGTATAAACGGCAATAAATAACGTCGGCAAGCAGTGAATCTCAGATCTCGGAATTTTTCAATTAGCCAATTATTTATTTGCTAATTCCTCCTGCTATCACACAAATCTAAATCCAAATCAAAAACGTGTTTGTCGAAAATTCCACATGGATTGTCGCATTCCTCGTGTTTGTTTCAAAGTCTGGGACACTAATTGAGTGAACTCAAACGGTTAACGGTTAACTCGTTTACCACAAAATAACCGAAGGACAAGAAGATCAGGAGCTTTTGCGGCGTTCTGTGCAATTTTCGCTTTAATTAAACGCCTGTAATAACATTAATTCAGTGGACGTACCAATAAAACACCGAGAAATACCCGAGACGCATTGTTGGGAGGCGGTCACTGACGTCTGACCCAAGGTGGTAAATGCAACCAATCGATGATGGGAGAGAAAAAATAATCAAAGCCGAATTTACTCAACTGGAGAGAAATAAATCAAGTATTGATTTCGACTTTTGCTTTTCGTTGAGTTTCTTTCTTTCACCGGTTTTGCTTTCGACGGAGGTCGAGGTTCGCGCTAATTTTTTCATTAGAGACACTGAAAAAGCGAGGTAAATAACTGCAAGTGTC